ATTTTTCATTTTAGCATATTGGGCCTGCACTGTTTTTATTATTGGCCCTTAGTATAAATAGGATTAGCTAGGGTTTTTTGTACTTCACTTTTCGTCTCTACAGTTTCTGCTTTCTCTCTCTAAACAACAGAAGCTTTCCTCTCAACTCCTCTCTGTAAATCGTTTCTCAAGTTATCAATGAAGATTTGATGTTGTTTTTACCGTTTTTCATTCTATTATGGTATCAGTTTTCGGGATCTATTCTCGATCCGTCTTACTTTCCGCTGCTCATACATGATTCTCGCTGATTCTCGATTTTTTGTTTAATTTCTGTTCTGATTTTCGTTCGATCTCTCTACTATTGCTCGCTTTTTCTCCGATTCGAGATCTATTTGTTGCTAATCTATGTCGATCTGTTCCTTCCCTTACGGATCTGCTCCGATTAGTTTCGAATTCCTTGAATCGCCTTTTTTTTCTGACAAAATCCGATCAGATCTCGTCATACTTTGAACGCCGCGATGACTCATCCAACAAACGATCCGATGTCACCATACTACTTGCATGCCAGCGACAATCCCGACTCCGTCATTGTTGCCGACATGTTCACCGGAGACAACTATGTGGCCTGGTCCAGGGCTGTCACCATGGCATTAAGCGTGAAAAACAAAGTTGCCTTCATTGACGGTACTCTGGTAACCCCTAACCCTACCACTCATCCTACTGATCATATTGCCTAGATTCGTGCAAATAACTTGGTACTTTCTTGGATTTTGAACTCTGTTTCTAAGGATATCCGTTCATCTATCTTATTTTTCTCTAATGCTCAGCATGTTTGGGATGAACTTAAATCTCGCTACGCTCTCAGTAGTGGTCCTAGGGTTTTTCAGCTTGAAAAATCATTAAGTAACATGGATCAGGGTTCACAGTCCATAACTCAATACTATACTGCCTTTAAATCTATTTGGGATGAGTACATAACCTATAGACCTGTTTTTAAATGCGTTTGTGGTGCCATGACTCGCTGTACTTGTGATATCTTTGATTCCATGACTCTTGCTCAACAAACCGATGCTGTTATGAAATTCCTTGTTGGTCTTAATGACTCATATGCTCAATTGAGAAGTCATTTCCTGCTTTCATCCCCCTTACCATCCCTGCCAAAAGTTTACTCCTTACTTTTACAAGAAGAGAGTCAGAGATCACTTCATCACAATATTTCTAAACCATTTGAACCTGCTGCAATGATTGTCAAATCTTCAAAGTATTTTAAACCTGCCGATTCAAAGGATAAAAAGAAATTCAAATGCAATCATTGTGGTTACAATCATCCCACTGAGAAATGTTACCAAGTTATTGGCTATCCATCCAATTGGATCGGTCCAAAAGGCCCCAGAATCCATCCAGATCTTCAGAAACCAAACACCAAACCTTCTGTTAACTCTGTCATCACAACCAATCCCAACACTCTGGTTCCTACTAACTCTTCTATGACTGATAAACTGTTTGCTGAGTTTCTAGAATATAAAAATGCATGTGAGACTAACAAGGGAAAGGCTCAGGCTGAGTCCAACCCTACAGTTGCCACTGTTCACATAGAACAGACAGGTACAATCTCATTAAACTGTCAGTCTATTTCATCTTTT